GGGCAACATGAGCGAGGCGGATGCTGTGCAGTATCTGAAGAAAATGGAGGCTCAGAAACGCTATTCGGCCGATGTCTGGAGCTAATCGGTGCGCGCCCTATTCAAAAGTTCTCTCTATTCCTCTGCATGAGTCACACAGTCGCGAAAATATACAAATAATGACAGCAATGAAAACAACAAGAAGACAAAAAAGAACAACTAGAAGCCACACGTTTACATAAGAGTAAAGTCGTTTTAGATAATAAGGCTAACTAAATAAATTAATTATACAAATCGGTTTGGGAACTTCAGCTTCGGTTCAACAAACAAACGTTTAATTAGCGTTTATATCTAATTCTAGTGTTAATTTGATTGCTTAAATGAATATATATTTACATCAATATGTATGTATCTTTATATATGATGCCTTTTAATTGTGCAAAATAATTTGATGATGTTAATTATAAATAATAATGATTTTAATCGTAATGTAAGTAGTCTTGTGTGTATGCAAGTAATTGAAGCCATGCATTCAGTTCGTTTGTATACATATTCTATTGGTGATTTCATAATGCAACTGATACCGATTTGTGCAATTTTAAATAAATATATAAAATTGTATTTTATTTTCCGAACAATAAATGTTAGAAATTTTAAGTCATTTTCTCACTTCTGTTAACTAACATTCAATGTTAATGTAAGCTTGGTTTACGCGAGCCTATTACATTGAACTGTCTGGCAGCGCTGCATTGCAACGGTAAATGCGAAAGTGAAGCAACAAGTGAGCAATTGAAAAGTGCGCGTAATCCTATGAAAAAAACTTTATTTTAATTTGTAAATACATGTGCAATAAATGTAAACTAAGCTAAAAACAAAATACACAACGCAAGGTGAGTGCGCCACCCATTTATTATTACTATTCCTCAATCCAAGACACCTGCTCGCTCGAAATGCGGCAAAGTGTATCGCAGCGTCTCGGCCAAGCGCTTGGAGTTAAACATTTGCTCAGTTTTCTTCTGAGCAAAATCCGCATCACTGAAATTCTCCAGATTATTGTCCGCCGTTTCGGCCTTGTCCTGGCTAACTGTTGGCAGTATGCCGTAATTGGCGAAGAATCCATAGCCCTCCCGCCGGTGCACCTCGGCCATCACCTGCTCATAGCTGGGCACCGGCACGCCCATGTCCAGATTGAGCAACGTATCGGCCAGACGATTGTGATAGACTTTCAGCAGCTGCGGCCGCTTGTGCTTCAGCACATCCAGGCTGAGACTCGTGTAGAAGAAGTAGTTCAGATCAATGCCCGGACTGCCCCAGATGCTCAGCTGAAAGTCTATGAAGATCACATCCTGCAGTTGCTGCGCTCCATTGTACTTGAAGAGCATGTTGTTCACCCAGAGATCGCCATGATTTAACACTTTGATCTCATCGTCTACTGGCGCCTGGGCACGCACCAAATTCACGCGCTGCTGCTCCATATATTTGCCTATTTTGCCCGCGATGCGCTCATAGCCTGGCCAGCTGCTGACCAGCTTGTGCAGCTGTTCGCCATTGCCGGCAAAGAAACGCATCAGCAGGCCGTCGTCCTTGTTCAGGCCGTGCGGGGATAACATGCCATCGCCATAGGCTTTGAATATTTCTGGGTCCTGAAGGCGAATGTTAAAGAAGAGAAACGAAAATGTTAATTGAACGATTTTCCGAGGGAATCGAAATTTGATTTCTTTTATATGTATATGTATGATATATGATCTCCACATGCACTATTACCTTCACCCAAAATTGTTTTCAGTTATACATAAATATACTCACATTAATTGGGTGTGGGTTAAAACTTATTAAATTTATAGACCTAAGAATTTTAATTTTAACATTTTGTTTCCTTCTAAATATGAGATTGGAGATTGATCTATTAAATTGTTTATGAATAGCTTTTCAATTATAGAAATTGCATATAAAATTTTAAATATTATTTTGCTAATATCCTAACCATAAAATTGAATAATTATATATCATATGACTATTATTATATATATAAAAAAAAAAAAAAAAAAAAAAAATAAAATTGTATCTGATAAATGAATACATTTTTACACTTGTTTCATGTTGTCAGATGTGCTTAGTATTTTTTATGATTTTATTATATCTATATAAAGATTAGCTAGGGCTTTAGGCTTAAGATCAACAGCATTTTTTTGGCAAGAACGTTCTGTTATAAAAGCATAACAGATAATACCAAAATATTTCAGCAAAGAATGAATAGCTAAAACTAAAATCATATACATAAGTCTAAGCCTGTAATATAAAGCGTAAGGAAATAATAAAAAGTCTTCAGCGTTTGCGAGAAAATCTTTGAATGCTTTGCGAGATAAGAAAACCAAATGCTAAGAAGACTCTATTAGAATATTGGTCTCTATTTTGTTCTCTCTCTCTCTCTCCCCATCGCTCAGCTTATATTTGAGTCTCTCACTTCCTCTGTGGCTTCATTTGGCTCACTCATTCTGGCTCTCTCCTTCACTTTATCTCTCTTTGGGTTTCTCACACTCTCTTCCTCTCTCTGCTTCACCTTCTCTGTGTCTTTTTCTCCCCTCTTACTCTCCTGGTCTTTCTCACTTTTTTCTCTATCTTTCTCTCTTTCTCTCTCTCTCTCTCTCTCTCTCTCTCTCTCTCTCTCTATGTGTCTCCTTTTTCGGTATTCTCCCCCAATCGTGGTAGTTAAAGTTAATATGTTTAAAGCCGGTTGAAAGAAATATTTTAAAGGTTTTTTATATATTATATATTGAAGAGAAAATGGAAAAATATTTACTTTTTGACTTCTACATATAATACATATATAATAATAATATCCCTATATATGTTATGTCTTCCTCTATATGTAAAAATATATATTAATATCTTCAATGCAATTTATAAATTATAATCAATTTGATATTCTTTCTTTCTGATATATATCCCCGTCGCATATATATATTCCACTAACTTACCATCACTGCCAGCACCATTGAGGCTGCATGAAATTCCGCTAGTCGTTCCATGACCAGACGAGCATGCGTCTCATCCAGGCCCGTTTCGCGCGAGCCCATCACATAGTCCAGCCGGCCGAGATCCTCGAAGACCAACGTGTTCTCTGGCTGCTTCAAGCACTGATAGAGTCTGAAAGCAGAACTTTATTTAGTCATTCGCCAGCTTTAGAATAGTGGAATCTCCCATTACTTGGGTCCAAAGCGTCGTTTGCATTTCATGAGCAATTCGAGTCGCGGCAGCATCTCGTAGTACGTGATCTTCTCCTTCAGGTACACCTGCAAATCCTCGATAAACTCTATGGAGTCAATGCGCGGTATGCTCTTCACAATCACTCCCGTTTGCTCTTCCTTGCCGTCTTTTCGCCTATAAGTCAGCTTGACCCGGTAGATTAGACTGCAATAGTTCTCGCCGGTGCTGCTGCCCAGCGCGCAGTGGATGCCTACTAGCTGGACGTGGGATGTACGTAGCATTGTCTCCAGCACCTCCTCGAAGAAGGCAACATCCAGGTGCTTGGGCGGCGATGCCAGCACTTCCTGATCGTAGACAATGCTGCACATGTTGTGATCTCAAGTGGTTTGAAAGGCTTGAACGAATCGCTCGGCATTTTATATGGATGTACACACAAAAGCGACTGTTTGTTTTATATTCGCGTAATTAATTCTATCCATATACATATATAAATGAATATAATTTCGTTTAATAGCCGACAATAGCGTCTGCTTGTCTCAATTTGTAAATAGAGAAAATTCAACACGCGACCTTTTAAATCACACACATACATACAAACATACATACATATGTAGCACACGCATAGTAACTGTCTCGAAACCAGTTATTTTAATTTTATCAAATACGTTTTATTAGTTTCTCTCATTGTGGACTTGCTTTGTCGGCTATATAGTTCGTCATTCGGAAATTATCATATCGCATATCATGGGCCCACCCGCTTATCAGATTATATCTACGATCAGCGTAATCTTTATCTCCTTCCACTTGACTCTCAATCAATTCGAGGTGCACCTACAGATAATACAATATTTTTCTCACGTCTCTAGCTTTCGCTCTCTCCCTTACTCTTTCTCTCTCACTCTCTCTTTCTCTTTCTTTAATGCATGATGTGAGCAATTTTATTATTGTTTTTTAATCTTTGAGAGACATGCAAATTATTGTTGTTCTTCTCCAATTATTTATAATTATTATTCAAGTTGTTTTTGCCATATTCCAATGGCCCAAATGACATATTAATTATCATACATAATTCAATCCGCAATTTTAATATTCTACGTTCGCTACGTACCCAATGCGACTGTTCAGTCTCAACTCTATTCCTAGACTCGTCTAATCTTCATTTCAGTGAGACTCACAGCGAAATGCCAACTGATTAAAGAGTGCGCAATCTTTTAAATAAATCATTTTGCAGTCAGCTGGGATGATATACTTACATATAAATTAATATATATTATATCAAATAAAGCCATTGAACAACGTGCATATTTAATTATGTTATTATGTAAGAGGGAAATGCATGAATGATCTCAAACTATATATACATATTCTATATATGATGGACTCTAGCTTCTCTGGTTGCTTTTTCTATATTAGCTCAATCAATCTCATACGTATAAACATCAAGTTTTTTACTCGCTTGAATCTTTACTTTTCTCTTGGTTTATTAGAATGACTTTCAAGTTTTTATTAATACTTTACGAGTGCCTATATATATATTGTAAAATGCATTTAGAAAAGGGCAAGGCGCAATAGGTAAATTATTGCTCACTAAGGTTCTATTTACCTTTTGATTCGTAATTGTTTTTCTCTCACACTTTATATGTTTATAATAGTAATTTTCTTATACCACCTACAGTTATATCAGAGCGCAAGCTAAAGCTCTTATATGATCAAAATGACATACGATCATGCAATGCTTAAAACAAAACGGAATTCGAATTCCGGGGTCGTAAGAATTAACTGTATAAAATAATAAAAACACAGTTGAGACTCAATTAAGGGAAGAATAATGCAATTTTTATTGTATTTTAACCGCTTTGAGTGAGAACCAAATGCATCCGCTGCTCATTGCCTTCAATCGAAGACATGCAAATCATCCAAGCGCTTCAACATGAACTTGAGGCTCTCGAGAGTGCGTGAATTGCCTTCGAACATGAGTTGAACCTTCTGCCTGGCGAACTCCTCGTCGTGAAAGTTCTTCAACGAGTTGTCCTCCGAATCGATGCCGATCATGCTCATTAGCGGAAAGAAGCCGAAGGCGACAAAAAATCCATAGGCCTCCCGTTCACGTATCTCGGCCATAATATCCTCATACTTGGGCAAGGGTTTGTGCCACGGCAGCTGCTTCAAGCAATCCAGCAGCGCATCGAAATACGTATCAATTAGCTGCTGACGCTTGGTCCTCAGCACATCCAGCTCCAGGCTAGTGTTGAGAAAGTAATTCACATCGAAGCCCAGACTGCCGTAGAAGCACAGCTGGAAATCAATCTGCCACAAATCTCACATAAGACAGATATATCTATGAAATAGAACTTTAAGCACTTACCAATCTCACCTGCTGCACCTTGCAGTGCTCGTCGTACTTGAAGAATATGTTGTTAATCCACAGATCCCCATGGTTGAGCACATTGAAAACGCCGCGCAGTGGATAAACCGATTTGAGCACACGCTCCGTGAAATGTTCATGATAGCGATAGAGTTTACGTGTGATCGAACCGAATCCCTCGCAGTCACTGATCAATGCCGCCAGTTTGAGCAGCTGAGTGCCAAAGAGCAGCTTGAAGGGCTCCGACTTAATGGCATCCATGTGCAGCAATCCAAATGGATAGCGGTCTATGACGGTCTCAGGCTCATGCTCGGCCATGATCATAGTCAGAGCATGATATTCGGCCAGCTTACGCATCACCAACTTCGCGTGCTCCACGTCCAGGCCCAACTGACGGCATTTCAATTGATAGCCCTCGCAGCACAGATCCTCGAAGATAATCGTCTGCTCCGGCTGTGTCGTTGAGTAGTAGTGCCTGTGTGGGGGAAATAGAATTGTAGAATAGTGAGAAAAATATTGAGTCTAGTCTAGAATCGATATAGACTCAAATTATATTCAATCTAAAATCAATTTCAACTGAATCTTGATTTAATCTACTTTCAGTATAGAGTAAGTTTAGAACAAGTTTAGAGTGAATCTAGACTCAATCTAGACTCAATCTAGACTTGGTCTAGACTCAGTCTCCACTCAATCTAGACTCAGTCTAGACTCAGTCTCCACTCAATCTAGACTCAATCTCACCTGGCGCCCAAAGTCCAGGTCTCCTCGTTTGCATTCGAGCGCCACATGAGCGCCTCCAGCTTGGGCTTGATATGCAGATAGAAGACAGTCTCCTTGTTGTAGATGTGGAGGCGTGCCAGTATAGCCTGCTTCTCGGCTGGCATGCATTTGACGATGAGCGAGCATTCCAGCTGCTTGCGTTCGGCTGTCTGGTACTTGACATTCGCTCTATATATATTACTGCAATAGTTCTCGCCGCCGCGTGTCAAGTCCGTCAGCTTTACGTCCAGCACTTTTAGGTCCTGCTGCTGCAGGCCATGCTCCAGGCTACGTCTGAAGAACTGTGGCGTTAAGTAGAGCGGCAGCTTGTCCGTTGCATCCGACATTGTTTTTAGCTTTGAGTCAGTTCGACGCATTGATTGATGGCTTTATATGGAAAATCAAAGTATCCACTTAGTTCAGTTTCAATTAACCCCAATGTAACGTCTTTGGGTACATCTGTTCGCCACTTGATTGGCTCAATAGAAGTGCATTCGATGTCTCGACTTTGGATTAGCGGTGGCTGCTTTTGATGCACTCTACAACAGCTAAACTCTAACCGAACATGTTCTTTGATTTTTATAATTAGGACATTTTAGATTTACAAATACTTAACTGAAAATTGCCTTTCTGTTTTACCTATTGAAGTGTAATTTTGAACTGAATAGTTTAATATATAAATTTAAAATGAAATTTGTGTTCGCCAAATTAAAAAAAATGTCATTTACCAGATTATATTATGGTTATCATTATAGTATTATATTTTATTATTAAATAGAGTTTTTGCTTATTCTATACATAATAGAAATTAGAGTTTACATATGAAAAGCGGTGCTATTTTAGAATATATTATTTTTGTTTAGCTTTAATTTGTAAGAAAAAATATAAAATATGAAATATATAAAATATTAAATATGAAATATAAAAAAAATAAAATATTAAAAATAAAATAAAAATAAAAAAAATTTAAATATAAATAAAAAAAAATATGAAACATATAATATAAAATAAAAAATTTAAGATATAAAATATAAAAAATAAAATATAAAATATAGAATATAAAATATAAAATGTAATAAAATTTAAAATATAAGATATATAAAATATAAAATAAAGTACATAAAATACAAAATATAAAATGTATTGAATTGCCCTACCGTACTACACTAAAACATTGTAGATTATAGAAAATAGCTGTGCCCCTTTTCTCATCAATCGACAACAACTAAGAATAGAAATAAGTGAGAGTGCTCTAGGTGGGAGTGTCAGACTAGGAGATACACTAAACTCCGCGATGAGTGGCAGTCAATCATGATAATTTCTAATATACATACGTATATACATATGGACATATAGAGCAAACAGCATATGTACACACTCACGCACACATAAGCATGCGCTTTGCTTATTGCGCAGTTTATGCAGTGATGGAGCTTATGGACTGTAAATGAATTGTTGAATAACATTTCGTTTGGAAGTAATAAGTACTAAATTACAATTTGACAGCGCGATTAAATGAGTTTTATATTTAAATTTATTGGAAGAGAAGATATAAAAAAAAAAAATACCCAAAAAAAATTGTAAATATATATATACTAAGAATATATACAGATTATGGTAACTGCCAGATTACATAAACCTTCATAAAACCAAAAGACCCTAGTTCTCATATTCAATGGGTTCAGGGTACAAAAAAGGGTAAATAAATATCTGCACGAAGTTGAGTAATTATGCATTATTGTTGCTGATTTTTTATTTTTTTTTATTTTTATTATTATAATTATTATTATTTTTTTTAAGTATGAGCAAATGAAAGAAACGAAGGCAGCTCCACCTGATTATGAAAATAATCAGCATTTATTATTGTCGTAGGCACTCAATGTAATCAGTGTAATCAGTTTTGTTTTTGCTCTTGCTTTATCAGTTGCATAATAAAACCCCAAAAACTTTTATTTCCATGTTCTTATCGCTCTAGTCTACAGATTGCTAAGCACGCGTAACTGAATGAAAAAGTCCACTAGATTCATTTGAGTAGCGCAGCTACATTAGATCATTTTAATTGAACTCTGGTCTATAAAAAGCTAAATCAAGTATGACATAAGAATAAACCCTTCAGACATACAGCTGGGCTGTCCGCTGCGGAAGCGTCTTTACAGCCATCTATGCTCGTAACTCAGGTGGTTGAACCTTTCATGCCAATTAGAACCTTTGTCTAATAGTCATTAAAGACGCCCAGCGCTTCGGCTCGCTTCAGCGACCATTTGTGATGATCATTGAGGAACTTTTGCGAGAAAATTGTTTCCAATTGTTTTTGCTTGAAGCTCTCATCCTGCATGTTCTCAATGCTGTTGTCCTTGGACAGGTCCTTCGGCATTGTGATAATGGGCAGAAATCCAAATAGGGCAAATATACCATAGGTTTCCCGACTGCGCAGCTCCCACAGCAAATCCTCATAGCTGGGAATTTCGTCGAGGTGCGCGTATTCCAAGGCATCACGGAAGGATTTGTAATAGACCTTGATGAGATCGTCGCGCCGCTGCTGCAGCAGCTCCAATTTGACGCTCGAGTTCAAAAAGAAGTTCAAATCACAGGCCGGACTGCCGTAGAAACTGAGTTGAAAGTCCACGAATATGACGCGTGTGGGTTGCTCCGGTTGCGTCTCATCATCGTAGGCGTACATGAAGTTGTTTGTCCACAGATCACCGTGATTGAGCACGACATAACGATCGCCTGGCTTCGGCTTCGCTGCGGCCACGCACACCGTTTTGAAGTTATCCGAAAAACGCTGCAAGTGCTGACTGATATTTTCATAGCCCGGCCATGTGGACACAACCTTGATAAGGCCCTTTAGGAAGCCACCAAACATATTCTCAAATATTTCCGATTGCATTAGCGTTGCCTCGCTCAGCATGCCGCCATGATATTGTTTGACAATTTCCGGATCCTGTGTGGGGAGCAATATAATTAATTAAATAAAGTCCATAAGTATTCAAGGTAAAGTGGTCATTACCTTCTTGGCCAAGACCATAGAGGTGGCATGCAATTTGCCCAGCTGTTGTAAAATCAGTGACGCATGCGCCCAATCTAAACTTGTACCACACGTTGCCAATTTGAAGCCATCGACTTTTAGATCGTTGAAAACAATCGTCTGCATGGGCGTCTTTACGGAATAATAATATCTGCAATAGAATTTCCATTAGATTTTCTATTTTTACTTTTCCCTTTTCACTTTCTTCACTCACTTGGCACCGAATCGATCGCCATTGGTAAGCACTTCCAGGCGCGGCAATATATCCGTATAGGTTTGCTTCTCTTTGATGAACACCTTGACATCCTCCAAGAACTTTGTCTCCTCTGTGATTGGAATGGTTTTCACAATCAGCGAGAGCTGCTCGCTCTCTTCCGACTCTGTGGCGTTGAGGGAACGTGCGAACTTCAGCAGCACCCGATAAATGGCCGAACAGTAATTGTCACCCGGATTACTGCCCCATTCGAAACTGATCTCGTGCAATTTGATAGCCGATTCGCGCAAGCCGTCCTCTAGTGCATCCACAAAGAATCCTTCGTTTAGGTACTCGGGCACCGATATATTTTGCACATTCTTTATAGCCACCATTTTTGTTATTTCTTTTTTTTTTTGGCAAGGTGCCGCGACGACTTTTCAACTGCGACTGATTGTCTATAAGCTAGACACACGGCATTATATACTGATAAATTTTGGTGATGGCTTTTTTTAGTCTTGGCTTTTCGCACTAATGCGGCTCTCGCTCTCTCTCGCTCTCTCTCTGGTGTCATCATGCATAAGTCAGCAGTACAATGAGGCAAAGATTTGGGAAAATGAAAGAAATAAAAAAATGAATTAGGGGTTAGACGTATGTAGATGCATATTATTATTTTCTTTTTTAACAACTTGTGAATTTATAAAAATTAAACAATAAAAATGTTATCTAAAAAAAAGGGAATTATACATTATATAATTATATAATCTACAAAAATTATTATAAATGAATAACTAACAAAAGAAGTATATATTTAAAAATAATATTAATTATATATTTAAATATATAATAATTATATTATGTAAATTTAAAACTATGATTATGTTTTAAAATGCAATAAAAAGCAAATTAAAATAAAATGGCACAGAACTTAAAATATAATTAAAAAATAAAAAAAAAAAAAAAAAAAAAAAAAGAATGATGTAGATAGTTTTATAAAACAAATTAAACTTAAACAGAAATAAAAATTAACAGAAATAAAAATTAAACAATATATAAAATGGTATAAACATATTTGTTAATTAAATTTTATTTTTTGTGTGGTTTTTATAGCTTACAATTAAAAATTATTTTCTTATAGATTACAAAACTATTCTTAAAATTTTAAACTAGAAATAATTTGTGTGTATGTGTGTACGTTTTTTTTTTTTTATATCTTTCAATTGTTTATTTTTTTCTGAAACTTTCAAAAATTTAACCGAAATGCGTTTTTGTTAGTGTGCTGTTTTTTTTAAAAAGCTTCAACCTTTTAATTATTTCTAAGGCTTTCATTTATGTTTAAAATTTTAAACTTTAATTAATTTTTGTGAGTGTGATTGTTTTATAGCATATTTAGCAATTTTTCAACAATTATTTTTAGTCTTGAAAAATTAGTTTAAAATTTTTAAGCTTGAAATTGTTATATGTATTATAATATATTTAAAAATTGAATATATTTATATTAATTTAATTTTCTATTGCTTTTGTGTCAGTGTGCTTTCAATGATGTCACAAACTAGTTTTTGGCAAATTTCAGGTCTGATTTCGAGAGTATTATCAATTCAGATTTAAGCCAAGTCATTATTGTTTATTTACATACTCTAGCTTTGGCTGAAATAATTGTACCTAACATATTTAGCAGACTTCAGTAGGAGAATATACATATATTTGAGAAAGAGATGTGGCGTTAGACGGTTTATTTGCTTTGCAGCTATTGTTGACTAAATTTGTTGAGCATACATGATATGAATATACTAGATATGCATATATATATGTATGTCTGTATGTACAATATGTGAATAACAAATATCAGACAAAAGCAGTAAGACACGGATTGTAGTATGAAAACAATTTAAGCTTATGCACGCTTTGTTTACTTATACAATTTTATATTGGTTCCATAGTCTGGAAGAGTATATACGCATTCGTTTATTCTGTGTTCATTTTGGTAGCTAGAAACAAAACTTTAGATGAGATCGAGAGACTTTCGTCGTATCTATGTGATTAGCAGCTATGTGTTATTTGTTAATCTACGCGTGTGTATTAATAAATATATACCTAGCATATATGTATGTACAATATATAGAGACACACGTTTGGTCTACTCACATAATTAAAGAATGTCAAACGGGTTAACCAGACAGACGCACACATACACACAAACAAATATAAACATCAAATGCATATCGGATGTAGATATATCTAATAGAGTTTTGTTTTGCCATTCGGCTCTTATCTGTTTAGCGGCATGAGTAGTCAAAATCAGTTTTACTAGTCTTCATAATGTATTTAATTGTGTGTGAGGAACGTGGCAAATTTGATGTTTGATTAGGTTGCTTTATTGTGGAACACAATTAATTTGGAGTATGACAGGTAGATAAGTAAATAGCAAACACACCTTTTGCTTAGAAATTGGAAATGGAAAAGATAACTATTTTTAATAAAGACAAGGGAAAAGTCATTCTTAATCATCAAATAAGCGTTAGATTTTGATTTACTATGCAATACATAAACAATAACTGGACAAATGCCATTCGCAGCTCATTTGCTTACATTAATTTTATGGCTTTACCTAGAAGAGCTAAAATCCCAATAAGTTTAGTTGCTTCACAAACCCCATGTGAAACGAGTTAGTGAAGACAAGCTCCCTCGTTGATGAATGATGCAACTTAGGGAATTTCCTTGGCTGGGAAATTTCTATGCTGTTTTTTGGCTGCACCATTTCCTCTCTTTCCTCTTTTTTGCTCAGGATATACTTATTTGCAACAAACAACCCGAAAGCCGTGTCACTAAATAAGGGTATGATTTTCATCCCTACTAGGCTGATTTTCGGAGTTTTGTCTTAGCTAAGTAGAGGCGAATAATATACCAGTAATAATATACTTTGCCAAACAAAGGCTTTTTAATAATTTGCAAAAACTTGTATTTGCTATTAGGTATAAAGTACTATATTTGGTACTTCAGCAAGTACAATTTTTTGCTACATATTAAAATGCCTTTGTAAGGCTTCTGCCTTGTTTATAACGGTAAATTTGATAAGGGAAATTTTGACTTGGTAAATACCCATTTTGTATCTGTTTTTTATTCGTATGTGATCTAAAAATATGTAAAATTAAATTGCGTTTATGATTTAAAAGAAATTCAACTTAATTGCCTGTATGCACAAATTTATTTTGACGGATCTGAATTAGCATATTTTTAATTTTTTGTTTTTATATATATTCCTTATGTAGACTTTTCGATTGATTTAATCATTTTGTTTTTTATTTTGTTAAGTCTGTTTTGTTAAGTCTGTCCATATATGTTACAAGAAAATTGATTTTAATTTATTTCTATTGATTTAATCAAATCTGTTCAAAATGAGAATATTTGAGATTATTTTTAATATGCATTTTTTTTAAATTCTATTATAATTTTCTTTATGTTACTGATATATACATATATTAAAGAGGAAGCTTGATTTTTTTAAATTTTTATTTTATTTAAAAATTTTTTTTTTTTTATTTCTATTTTATTTTTATAATTTACTGTCTTGTCATTCACACTTTGTTTGCTTTCAATAGAAAAATATTCTCTATTTTTTCCAATTTATTTCGATTTTTTTAATAAGAATCAAAATTTTAAAATATATTTATGTATATATTTTTAAATTCAAGTAAGTTTCTTATTGTCATATATGAATCTTCAATGTAATATTAAAAGTTGATATTTTAGGCAGTAAAACTTTAGATGAATTGAAATCTCTTCCTATTCGATATGAAAACATGTTAGACATCTCTTGATATAGTCCTTAACCATGCTACAATTTCGCAGCCTTTGCTGTGCTTTTGCGGGAAAAGAAATAGTATAAAAAAGCAAACATAACTAGTTGCGGCAACTCTCGGGCTTCCCATTTTTTGTAGCTCTGCCTTGCGATACGCATCACCAGTTGCTTCTTTGGCGCGACCAGGCTGGCTGGCTGGGGGGCTGGGGTAGGGTGGCAGGAGCTGCCCCGACTCCTCTGACTCTGTATGAAAGGCCAGTTGGCCATGTTTGCTATGCTTGGTGCCTTGCCTTTGAGTTGCTCACGGGCAAATACACGCACACACATGCACACCCACACACATGCACACACACACACATAGATGAGTGCATGTCACGTGTTTTTGCAGTTCATGACGGCTTAATTAAGTCGTATGTTAGTTTTTCTATTTTTCCTTTATTTTTGGTTGTTGCGTTTGTTTCCTTTCGCCTCTCGTGCCGCGTCGAGCTTTTCGCGTTGCATAAATTTTGCATTACACGTTAAACGAAATGCATTAATAAACAACGGCGTTTAAATGCGCGATTTCACACAAATTAGGGACGAAGCCACGGTTGTCTGGCCACGCCAGCCGGCAGGGCTCTCTCTCTTTCTCTCTCTCTCTCTCTCTCTGTACCCAACTCGAGCTCTCAGTTAACCCGTTGCACAGCAACCACATTTGAGACTGGAAACTGACACACCGTTACGGCGTTTCCCCCCTCGCGGGCCTTTGAACGGCGCTGATGTATGCGATTTTAATCGTACGCTCAGACACAAACATGATGCGAGTCCCAACAAATGCCCGAAAAACCAAAAATCCATGGCAACTCCATGACGGAGCGGGATGCAACAAAAGATAATAGGGTGCGCGCGTTCCTCATCTGAGTGTGTGCTCTTGGTGAGATGCTCGCACACCAAATTGGGCTGCAGACAGTGCTGAATAAATGACCATAATCAAACACTTTACGCCTGAAAGCGTGCCCGCCTTGCCACGCCCCCAATGCCATGCTCATCTCTCGTCCGCGCACTGAAGAAAGCCTGGCTGGCCTAAGCTTCCTGCGCCTGGCTTTAGACTCGGCTCTTTTCTATCTGTGTGCATCAAAGTAGCCGTCGCCGGTGGCCAAATTTAATTAGTACCCTCCAATCGAGTTCCCAGCTAGCCATCAGCTACCAATCGGGTATTCTACGCTTGTCAAGCCATTGGCGAGGCTGACATTGATGCGATTCTCAAATCTAGGAAAGGAAAATAAAGCGCAATACAAATAATAACAAAATAATTGAATGAAAAAATGGAATTTATTTGATAAGCTTGTTTATTTACTGGAGTACTGGCTTAGTAAAAATTATTAAAAAAAAAAAAAATTTAGTTATACAACTTTGATATCTCAATATGTTTACAAATACATAAATTTTTTGTTAATACTAAAAGAAAATTATGTTAATAATGTAAAGATTATTATTTTTATTATTTATTTACTTCTTATAATTTTCTTTTATATCTTCTATACTCATTTATTTGAATTATTGAATGACGTATTAATAATATAAACAATTTTAGTTATACTTTTTTTAAATTTTTATAATTCTTATGAATTCCCTGCCTTAATTTTAATTTCAAGATAAAGCTAAGCGCATCAAAAATGTGTAAA